TTTTTTTTTTTTTTTTTTTTTTTTTTTTTTTTTTCAGTTAACTAAAATGTATTCTTGGGAAAAAGTTGCTGAAAAAACAGTATAAAAGTGAATAAAAAAAAAAAAAAAAAAAAAAAAAAAAAAGTTTTTTATAAAGTAGTACTTTTTATTTTAAATTTATTAAAAAAAAAAAAAATGATTAAATGATTTACTCTTTCATGGAATGAATTAGAATCCACATTTTTAACAATTTCTAAGGCATTATCTACAGCTTTACATAAATCAATATGATTAGGTTTAGATAGAATCATCATATCTTGAGGTAAGACTTCAGAAATTCCTCCTACATCAGTAGAAATTACAAGTAATCCACAGCTAGCTGCTTCAATTATAGCTATACAAAAGGCTTCTGTTAAAGAAGTATTCAAAAATATATGACCTGTTTGTAAGACATTTTTAACTTCTTCATGTTTTATTTTTCCTAATAATATAACAGAATTATGTAAATGATATTTTTCTCTCATTTCTTCTAAAAGTATCCTCTTGGGACCATCACCACCAATTATAAAGTTAATAAATGGATATTTTTTGCACACTGGAGGAATAACTTTAACGATTAAATCAATTCCTTTTCTATATGTTAACCTACTTATAACTATAATATTTATTCTTGGAAATTCTGGTCTTTTATTTATACATGGAACGAACTTTTTTGTATCAAGAGCATTACCAATTACTGAAGTGTTATAAGGGTTTATTTCTGTTCGTAAAACCAAATTTTCACGATTTGTATGAGATACACATATAGAATGATCAACATCATTAATACAATATTTTAACAACTTATTAACATGTATACATCCTTTATCTGAAAAACTATATAAAGAATGATCAGTGTATATAGTTTTAATACCTAAAGATTTTGCATGTAGAATAAATTCGTGAGCTAATGTTGATGTTGCCTATAAAAAAAAAAAAAAAAAAATTAAAAAAAAAATAATAAAAATATTCAAACTTATTACATCCAAAAAAAAAAAAAATTAAAAAAATAATAAAAATAAAACCTGATGACCATGAACAATATCAACCTTTTCTCTAAATAAAATATTTCTACATAATGGTAGTGATCCTATAATATTTGGAACAGTTACAACATCTAAGAATGGGTAGATTGGTAAATAATACACTTTAATTCCATTACCCATCCATCTAATCCCATTTCTATTATTATAGCAATGAGTTACTATTATTACTTTAAAACCTATGAAATTTAAAAATGAAGTATATAAATAATTTATGATGTTTCTATGAATGTTATATTTACTTTTGTTAAAATTTTATATGCTTCTATTTTTATTAATATATATATTTATTCATATTTATATATTAATGTATTTCTTTCTACTTGTATAAAAATAATCTTTTTTTTTTTTTTTTTTTTAACTTCTGTATCCTTATTTTCTTACATATTATTAAAAATTTGTTCTGTTTTAATTTTATTTTTATGAGTACTTTTTTTTTATATTAATATTTATAATTGAATATTTTAATCTTTCTTTTTTTTTTTTTTCTATATTTTTTAATATAACCTTTTCTTATTAATTGTTTAGATAGTTCAAATATATGCATTTCAATTCCTCCCAAATTTGGATAAAAAAAATCGCTCACCATACAAATGCAACATTTTCTTTCTTTTTTATAAATTAACTCCTGTTCATTTTTATTTTTCGTTTTATTGATTTCTTTATTTTTATATATCATAATTTACATATGTTTATAAATAAACATATTTTAATTTTGTTATAATTAATGATTTTTAGTATTTTTTAAAGAATTTATTTATACTAAAGATACATAAAAAAAAAAAAAAAAAAAAAAAAATGTATTATTTAAAATACATATATATATATATGTATGCGGAATAAAAAACTTAGGGCAAATCTGTAAATTTTTTAATTTATATTAATGTTAATTCATAATTTTAAAAATGACTAAAAAATTTATAATTTAAATAAAGAAATTTCTAAATAATCTATATTGTATTAATGAATTTAAGGAAAGTTTTAATAGTGTTTTATATTTTTAAGCATAAAAAAAAAAATTAAAAAAAAAAAAAAATTTGCTATATATTCTTCTAGTTATAATTTAGTTATTGTTATAAATCTATACATTTTTCATTTAGGAAATATAATCAAAATACATTTAAAATAATATTCCTTAAGCATTATATAAATGTGTAATTTAATTTTTAAATAAAAAAAAAAAAAAAAATAAAAAAAAAAATCAAATATTAAAAAAAAAAAAAAAAAAAAGATAAATATATATTTAAGAAATTATTTATAATTAAATCTATAAAAATAGGAAATACAATTTTTATGTTTTTGTCTTGTTTTCAAAATTAAATCTTAAAAATAAAGTTTTAAAATATATATGATTCTTTTAATGGAAATATTTAAAATTTTCTTTTCGTTTAAAAAAAAAATGTTAAAAAAACATATAATAAAAGGATATTCCACTTTTTTTAAAAAATATGTAAATAAAACAAATAATTAAAAAAAAAAAAAAAAAAAAAAAAAAATTAATGACAATAATAGTAACAATAATAAGGTTATAGCAATAAAACTATTACAATAAAAATATAATACAATGGTGTAATAATAATAACATTTTTGATTAAGAAATTTATAGTAATTAAAAAAAAAAAAAAAATAAAAATATAAATGATAGAAAAAATTATAAAAAAAAAAATATATTTATTTTATGTAATTTATAAAATATAATTAAATATATGCATCAATGTTATTTTCTTTTTTTTATTATTTGTGTAATAAATATATACAAAAATAAAAATTTTTTCGCTGTTCAAAAATAGTATAAAAAATTAATATTAACTAACATATGTATACTATTTATGACAATATATATTTTTAACTTTCACTTAGTCTAACACCTCTACCAATAAAAACTCTTCTGTTTGTTCCAGTTGTGTTTATATTTCTTTGATTATTTATACTATTATACCCATAGTTTGAAAAATTACTTCTTATTCCATTCATAAAACGAAATTCTTGTATTTTAAGCATAATTTTATCAAAAAATTGAGGAGTTTTTTCTAATATATTTGGTCCACCTAAAAAAAATATATAAATTAAACAATGAATAATTATATACCAAAAAAAAAAAAAAAAAAAAAAAAAAAAAAGCAAATTTCAAAAAAATTAAAATATATATAATTAAGAAAATGAAATATAATATATATCTTTAAAATGATATTTTATTATAATACCTTCTCTTGGTAGTATTTCTCTAAAGAAGTAATAGATATGACCCGATAACAAACCCATAATATCAACCCATAATGATTGACCCATTATTAAATGAAGAAAAATTAACGCAAAAGGAAGTTGATAACCCTTAACAGTAAAAAAATAAATTGATACTTGACTCCATGCTTCTCTTCTAGACCAATAATAAATTATAGCAAATAAAAGTGAATTTCCTAAAAATGGATAACCTATAAAAAATATATATATATATATATATATATATATATATATATATAGAATAAATATTTTTTGATTGTTGAATAATTTAGATTAATATTTATAAACATGTTATATTTTTTTTTTTTTTTTTTTTTTTTTTTTTTGATTTCTTAAATACCTCTTGGCCAATAAAATAATATACTTATACAAGATAAAAAAATACATTGGATGGTAATAAAATATAAATAAGATCCAGGAGAAGTAAAAATTGTATTTTTTTCTAAAGATGATGAAAATTGAGATAATAAAGACATAAAAAATACCCAAGAAAGTGAAAATTTTCCAATAAATAAAAAGTTCAGAAAAATTCTCCATATATGATAATTATTATATATTAAATTCCAATCTAATATAAAATATATAACATTTAATAAATTACATGATATCAATAAAGTTACTAAAAAAATTAAAGTTATCATATATTTTGTTACATGTGGTAAATTATTATACCACACTTCTGGACCTGATATTTCCATTATAATGTATTGATAAACATAAAAAAAAAAAAATAAAATTAAAATATACCACAAAAATTCAATTAAAAAAAATAAATAAATAAATGGAATAATTATTTATATATTTTCTTTATACAAACACTTGATATTTTCTTATGAATACAAATATATAAATTAAAGCTATTTAATTATCACTATAAATTTTTATTTTTGTAATCATATAAAACAGTGTGTTATTATATATGTGCTTCTTTTTAATTCACTCCAAATATATATAAAAAAAAAAAAAATTCCTCTTACTGGTTCTCACATCACTACGTAAAAATTTAAATTTTTAAAAAAGGATGGAAAAAAAAATAATATACAATATTAAAAAAAAATATTTAAATCATAAGGGAAATGTTCATCTTCTTTAGTATTTATAATTATCCTATTATTTTATTTTATTTTTTATTTATACTTTTAGTTGTTTTTTTTCTTATTTTTTTTTTTTTTTTTAAATTGTAGTTGAATAAACTCATTTTCTTAATATTATTTATTCATTTTTTTTTATTTATGTGCTCTATTTTTTTTTTTTTTTTTTTTTTTTTTTATNTTTTTTTTAATTTTTTTTTTTTTTTTTTTTTTTTTTTTAATGCATTAAATAGATAATTTTTCAAAATTCATATATTTTTTTTTTTTTTTTTTTTTTTTTTTTTAAATTTTTTTTTTATTTTTTTTTTTTTTTTTAATTTAAAATATGTAAGAATAATTATTAGAATTAATAAAAGAAAAAATACTAATATTTAATTATATAGTTTGAGAAATATTAGATAAGTTTCCTCTTAATTTTTTTTTAAGTAATGAATACCAATTTTTTTTTTTTTGGAAAATCGCAAAAAAGTTTACGAAGAATTATATTAAAAGAAATAACAGAATAAGAGAGATAAAAAAAAAAAAAAAAAAATTTTTTTTCTTATTAGTTTCTTAAATTTTTTAAAAAATAAGTTTTAAATATAATGATAATAAAAAAATATTTTAATAAAGACTATAGAGACAGTCGTGATTGGATATAGTAATAAATAAAAAGAATATTTTTTTAACTTAATTATATACATTTATATGAAAAACAATAAAAAATGGCAAATTAATTTTTATTTTTACATGAATATATTTTTATAATTATTATTAAAGAGTATATGTAAATTTTTTTTTTTTTTTTTTTTTTTTTTTTTTG